AAAAAAAAAAAGAACTATTGTGTGAAAAACTATAAAAAGGAAGAATCTTAAGTGCTTTTTTTGTTGTAAAAACTATTAGAAATAAAAATAAAACATTTTTGGTGTTATTATTCTGCTAAGATACCAGTGCTAAAATGCAAACTCTATGCTGATATAGTGCTGTATACCCTGTATCTAACTTTGACCGTCATGTAATAAGTTGTGTCAACAACAACAAAAAAAATCGTTAATGAGAAACGTTTTCATTTTTTTTTTTTGTTTTCTGAAGATTCTGTTACTGAACTATGTTGGTATGGCATTGCTCTAAGAATATTTGATAACATTTGACCGTTTGCTGAAGCAAATAAAAATGTTGTCAATACAAAACATTTATTTACTCTAGTCTACCTTATTAGTGTAGTATTTAGTTGCTAGGGTACTGACAGTTCAGTAAATTTAGCTAATTAGTAACTGTGCAATCACGGGTTCTTCAATCATTCTAGGGGGAGGGGGGGGGACGGTGTAGCCGGAAATGCAAGAAGACTGGGGGGTATCTGCAGAAAGTTATATAAGGTCGAGTCACTAAAAGTTTATGTCAGTTTTCATTGTCACAATGATTCAAAGAATAACCGATAAGGTTTTGATAAGGTAAAATGTCAAAAGTGGTCAGGTAAGTTTATTCTGAAAAAAAAAAAGCTTTTTTTTGCTAGAAAGACCCATCTAGAAAAAAAGGCAGATTTGTATGCCTTTCTTCATCAAAAACAACAGAAATATCTAAGTGTATCGATATGTTCATTTTATTCAGTGTATGTTATTTTGCGGGTGTTAGTTTGTTACTGTCTCTTAAGTTAAGTGATCAAAAACAATTGTATCAGTAATTTTTAAATATATTAAGTAAACGTATTTGTTCAATTCAGTGCATTGTTTCTGGTTCAGTTCTAGTTTTTTTTTAGTTTTTTGTAAATGAACATTTTTGTTCTTGGTTCTAAATATTTTTGTTATCGATAGTTTATTGTAATCATCAGTTTCTTTGGGGTTGGCATCGTAACTGTTGTCGACAAGTAATAAATAGATGTATTTTGTTGTTAATCTTTGATGTAGAAACAAAGGTGAGCTTTCTTTCAAGTTTCTGAAAATAGAAGCAAGGAAGTTTTGTATTAAAGCAAAGAGAAAGTGGAGAAGAAAAAAGAGTAGAATGAATTTTCTAAGTACATTATTTACAACAATTTAGAATGTGTTATTACGACTATCGCTGTTAAATCTGTTTGATATGTTCGACGTATTTTTCAAAAGACGATTTTTAAACTGAACAAATCAACTTTATTTCTTTTTCTTGTTTTTTTTTAGTTTCAATTTGTGTCATCGCATTTTATATAAGTTATAGCTGATTATAACTAAAAAAAAAAGATATGGTACAAATTTGGCAAATGGAACCGTATCCGTGCGGTGATCCACGACTACCGCACCATTTATTTCCACCAAAGAAAATTCAGCCAGATGAATTGATGAGAAAAACAGGCATTAATTATTTCAAGGTAATTTTATAGTAATAATTTTGCTAATAATAGCGACAAAATTTTGCATTTGAACATAGATGGTACATTACTTTTTAAATCTATTTTATTCAACGCTATAGGCTACAACAGATGTTTCAAAAATTTAAAAATATTAGTTTTGATACAGTAGCAGAAGTAACAAAAATAAATTTTCTACTACTTTTTAGGCACTCTATTGGTAATAAATTTCTATTTATAACTATAATTTTGAACAGTTATAGTTAACATTCAGTTATTTGTAAAAAAAAACTGTAAATTGTTGATGGAAAAAAAGAGAATAAACTCAATTGAAGAGTTTTACTCTACTTTAAAATTAAATATTATAATACCAAACAATGTAATAGCCAATTTTCAACAATTTGAAACTTAAATTTTATTTTTTTATTATCTATGCTTGACAAAAAAAAAAGAAGAATCTTTTTTTTTTTTAGATGGATATGATGAATCAGGTAGCAATGTCAAAACGAATAGCAATCTTAAAGTTGGAAAGAAATTTGACCCGAGAAGATACGTTTATTCTTGATGCAGCAACTACAATTGATTTTGACGACAAAGTAATTGAATTGTACACACAAAAAGAAACTTCTTTTTTTTGTAAATACTATCTAATTGTACAAAAAAACCAAAAAAAAGAAGTTTCTTTTTCTTGGTTTTTTTTGGATAAGATTGTACTTCTGAACTAAACAGTAATTGGAGTATCATTTTACTTTTTTTTTTTGTAACAAGTCTATCTATCGTTCAACAGAGGAAAGAAAAAGATGTATTTGTACAATTTTTATAGGGCAATACTACAACTAACTTTTGAATTTTTTTCTGTCAAAAAAATAAACAAAAAATAGCATTTGTTTTTTTTTTTTGGCATACTATTCAAACTATTCAGGGCACCACAAAATTGAACTGTTATATGCAGCATTCAGAAGTACAAATATAAAAATGAAAAAAAAAAATAGAAGAACAGACTAAAAAAAGTACCAATAAAAATAGGGGTAAAAAAAAGAAAGAAGTAGAAAATACATCATTTTTTTTACTTATTTCTTTCTGGTTTTTTTCTTTTTAAAAGCTTAAAGCATTTCTTTGTTTTGACTTTTTTTATTATTATCTACAAATACAGAAAGCAAATTTATCAGGTAACATTCTTTTCAACGGTAATTAGCCACCGACTTAATTAGGTAAGTAAGCTTTGTTTTACACTGTTTATCAACAGTTTAACAGTGTAAAACAATTTAGTCACGTGAATAACTAATTATTTTTATTAAAGTTGATAATTTTTTTGAACAATTGCTATTCAGAGGATAAAAAAATTTAACAAATTAATGTTTTTTGAGGTACACCCAAATACAGGTTGTTTTTTTTCTTTGTTTTTTGTTTTTTGTTTTTAAAAATAGCATATTATAGTTGGAAGAATTGTTTGAAGAAAGTGAATTACCTGAAGAACAAGCCCGAATGATTATCGAAGGTTCTGCATATTATGATATCGAGGGTGAAGATGGAATTTGGTATAGAATTTTATGCGAATATGGTGACCTAATAATTATACCACCGGGAAAAATGCATAGATTTACCACAACGACAAAGGTAATTAAGCAAGCAATCATTTTTTTTTTCGATGAAAATGATAATATTATAACTGTAGTAGGAAAAAGAAATTTTTTTTTTGGTTTTTTATACTTAAACATTTCAACTAGTTGGGGGTGTTCTTAGATGTTTGATAATCAAAAGGATTAAACCTACTGGGCACTGGACCAGTTTATGAACAACAATAATAATTAAGCTCTTGGAAAGTATAAAAATTTATCATTTGCCATCAGCTGTGTATCTTTTCTGTATTTTGCAGAATTTCGTCAAAATGCGACGATTTTTCAAAGGTATCGACTAAGCAGAAGCTCAACAAAGAATTTTCTTTTCTATGTAAATTAACTTAAAAAAAAACTGAACGAACACATTATTACACAGATTAATGTTGCTAAAAAAAATCTTGCAAAAAAAAAAAA